CATGCCCGCATAATTAATTACAAGACAAGACTAGGTCAAAGGTCACAATAATACAGAAGTAGAATACTACATCTACTAATATTTACATTGATTATAATAGAAGTGTCACCAGTACCAAATAAAATCCAATGATGTCTTAGACGCTGGGGGCGCTGTACAAAAAAGTCCAGAGCACGTCCGTAAAATACATTTTGTTACGGGCTTTCGTCACTGAATTTTTATGCACTGGGGCCTCAACTATTAACACAAATATTAACTCGCGCTTCAAGTTATCCTCGGGCGGACATCCGGGCATTTTCACCGCCCGGCAACCATCGCGGTGAAAACAAAGGCCAAACATTCGCAGAAAACGGTACTTTGGGATGGTTGTTGAGACTTCCCTGAATAGTGTAACAAGATTAGCCCTACTTGTTTAACATATATAAATTCGGTTGTTCAGGATTACTTCAAAGTTGAGTTTGTGTTGTTTTCTCGAATTTTCACCAGCTCGACGCGTCTTAGCAACGTGGAACGTCTGTGACATGGATTTCTTAGAGTAACCAGTGGACCTGTAGTGTATCACGCACCCGATCGTGAGTGTTGACGGAACATAGACTGACCCAGTCGTGACAATTGTATTGTTTTATATGATAATTCATTTTAGTTAAGGTCCTGTCCCATACAATTTCAAATAAGGTTATGCTACAACATTGTAATTACTTTTTTTGTAACTGTACCTCTTATTAGATTCAAACTCGAGATGCAATAAAACGTCGTCTGCAAATTAGTAGTGGTGAACCCGGAAGCACTCTCTGGACTGGAGGAAAGCGGCAACAAACATCACTTCCGGTCTATCAGTCAAAACGTGTTGTCAGCGTGCTCTGCCATTCATTCATTCATTTGCTCATTCGCCGGTAGTAAGATTGTGTGTGGCTATAATGAATTCGATACAAAACGGTTGGTTTAGAGAAGTAAGTCCCCTGTGGCCAAGTCAGTGCATGTCGCTCGAAGTGGAAGAGGTACTTTATGAAGGCAGATCGGACTTTCAAGATGTTCTAGTATTTAAAAGGTAGGCAACCGGGGTAGGCAATCGCCCGGCCATTGAATATGCCACTGTGACCATAGCTCTGTGTGTTGTAACTGATGATACGATTGACTATGACGTCCACGGAACTTGTCTTACTTTAATATTCGTATATCAACTGGCAATAATGGGGGATGTATACATGGCCAATGTGATCGGTATACAACTGTATACACCCAAGCGACTGAAAATGCAGTCGAAACTGGTTGCTATTAAGGGGTGAACGATTAGGAAATTTGGGAGGGGCAATTGTATAAAACGTTATTTTTTTTTCTTCACTTCGTTTTCATGACCAGTTCGTTTTCATTTAATTTTTTTCACACTATATTGAATATTTGTTCTAGATTTAGGGGTGCAGATTTTTTTATTGGTCCCTGCAGGATATTTTTTGCAGCATTTCAATTCCGTCTTTGCCCCAAAAAGTTGTTAATGCCATAATGGTCATCCCCCAAATTAACACTGGTTGGTGATGGGTTTCAGAAGGGTCACAATTTGAAGTGTCCTAGCACTAGTTGATACTGTGTCATGAATAGTCATGTGAATTTCATTCAATAATTTTTAGCTTTTTTTCATCCATGTTTTACTCATAAAAAATGTTCTTTTTTAGTGAAAATTTATTTAATCATATAATCAGAAACTTCACAATGGATGTTTTCACAAAGAAAGTTCTGTACAATTATAAAGATTATTAATTCTTTTTATTTGAGCGATGTACTTATCATTTCGCTTTTTGCCACAGGACACCCCATGAGTACTTATGCGAGTACATCTAGGCAGCTTGCAAATAATTAATCAGAAAATACTTATTTCTCTGACAGTAAAACATATGGAAACGTTCTTGTTTTGGATGGTGTTATACAGTGTACAGAGAGGGATGAGTTTTCCTACCAGGAGATGATTTCTCACTTGCCTCTAAACAGTCATCCACACCCCAAAAATGTAAGTAATGTATAATAACCATGAAATGCATGCTGCTTTCTCACCTAAAATCATTTATTGGTGCATCAATATTAATAATTTTTTTGTTTCCAAGCATAAAATATTTTTTTAAAGTGAGAAAATGGGTTTGAATTAAACTCAGTTTATGGCAACTTTATTTTTGTGTATTTTAAAGACAGACTCCTCATTAGCTTCTCATTTGCATACAGAAACATCCCTGACGTATATAGGGGAACTTACTGGGCAGCCTGCATTGCTGATATGTGTATTGAGGCACATTTCTTATGTAATTTTCTTATCTTTGTCTAAATTGCCACTCATGTACTTGTTCATTGAGGAAGAATGAACCATAATGAACACATAATATCATGTTTGTAGCATAGGGTTGAGTTGGATGCAAAATATGCCCTTTCTGGCATAGCTAGTCACCGTGATCGTCCCCATCATAACTATGACATCATATTAAAATTTGCTTGGTCGAAACATATTGACAGTCCATGCCCGAATATTATTCCATATATTATTATGCCGATCAAGATGCAAGTAAAGATCACAGATGTGAAGTAGTCATTCAACGCCAATAACCAAACAATTCAGAAACTTTCAGACAACAAAATTGAAAACAATTAGCAGTCTGTAAGTGCTGCGTAAATTCCTGTTTGTCCAACGCTTCCGTTTTCACGAGACTATCAAAATTATTGCTACCTCTTACATAACATGAACTAAATGGTCTCTTTAAAGCGTTATTCAGGATTGCAAAAATGTCAATTTGTTTGAAACATTAACTTGATGTTCTTATCTCTTCCCCCGTGGTGACCATGGGCTTAACCTGCCAATGAACGCCACTTGGTAAGCAGTGATCTTATGTTAGTGATCGCTTATTGGGTTACTGACTGCATAGGTATAATTCCGCTAGAGGACCAATTTGACCAAGATGTTTGGTAAAATTTTGCTCTCTTGAAATAAAATGACGTAATAAAAAAATGGTTTTCAATTGATTTTTAACTATTCTATTCTAATTGAAGACATCAATATCATGACTTTCATTTGTATATATTAGTAATTCACACACTTGTAAAAGAAATACTATTACAACTACACATGTACAAGTTTTATTCAGTGCATGGCACTTGCATGGCTTCCTCTTTGTCTGACATTTGGTGGCACAGTTTCACTTCAAGAGAAGTTGGAAAGCCAGAGACAGTTGACTGTGTTAGGAAAGTGTCATGGCTACAACTCAGAATCTTTTTCAAATTTACTCAGTCAATTTATTTATTTATTTTATTTATTTTTTGTTTTCAAATGTTCAGGGCAACAGAATCCAAAAACCTGATGGGGTGGGAGTTTCACAGGCACTTTAAAATACACAAACATTTTGTAGTCATTGCTCAATTGTTTCTACCTTATGTGTGAAACGAAACTTTATATATGGGTGTACGTTTGGGCGCAACCTAAACTGTTTTTACTTCCGATTTCTTTCGTTATTTTGTTTGTAAAATTAAATTTCATAACTGCATTTCAACCGTGAAATGTTTTTCTGCAAAATGATGACTATATTCTTGTATTTTCTTTGAGTTGTTGGTGTGCCAAAGAATATGAGTTTATTACAATAATACCTCAAAGTATGCACAATGACAGTACAGCTGGAGTATCGACCGAGGCGCAGCGGTGTACTGTCTGAGTGCATACTTTGAGGTATTCTCGTAATAACCTAAATATTATACACCTTTTCCTTCCAAGGATACACCATAGGAATGCCGAAATCCAGAAATCTTAGAACAGAATCAGCAAACTTCTTTGTGTGGAGTCCGGTCAAACCCTAGTGGCAGCCATGTTTGTTTTTATTATTAGAGAACGCTTATGTGCGTAATCATTCCATATTGGGAATTTGCATTTCCTAATATGGTAGGATGAAAATACCCTGTAAAATACCGCAAAATTACTACTGTGTAACAACAAATTCTCTTTGAAACCAAGAGTCATGTCATATTGGTTTAGGGGGCACAATAGCACACTTTATGATCTTAGTAATACATGTACATGCATTTCCATATTAGTTTGATGCTGTATATAAAAACTGGGTTGTAATTGTTTTCTCATTTTTGTATTAGGTACTGATTATTGGTGGTGGTGATGGTGGTGTCGTGAGAGAAGTTGTGAAACACCCATGCGTAGAAACAGTAACACAGTGTGAAATAGATAAGGTAAGTGGACAGACAATGGACACTTTTCAGACCCTGCAAGGTTAATAATTTGAAAGTAATCTAAATAAAATTTAAAGCTCTATTTTACAATACCATATTATTTCTAATTCAGATCTGTATGATTTTGTTATCAATTACATGCATGTACGGGTACAGTAATAATATTGGCTTTATTGTAGCATTTACTTAAGTTTGCTTTCTTGATTGAATTTATTTTCTTGGGTGAGAAATCATTTTTTTCAGAGTACTCACTAAATACTAGTAATATATTTCCTTTCAAAATAATATTTATTTATTCCTAATCTTATGTCTGTACTATTATAGTTTTCTGCATTTAAAGAAGATTAAATATAAATATGTTAAATTTGCATATATACTGCAGGGTATGCTGATCATTTTTAGTTGCCATGGTGACTACATTCAAAATTAATCGACCTAAGCAAAATCTGACTGGTGACAAGTTTTCGATAACAGAGCTTGTCAACTCTTGGGAGCACACTTCTACAAACAATTATACATTTTTCACTTATTTATTTTATTATTTGCTTATTGCTATCATCTGAGTACAAGAATCATATTTTGAATCGAGTGATGTGATTGAAAGTAGACCTTATTATCCTATCAGTGAATCAGTATGTACATTAAAGGATGCAAATTGACTAAAGGTTGTTAAATACAATAAAAACAGTTTTCCAAACACAAACAAACAAAAAAATGTAGCTGCACTAAACTACTTGTTACATTGAAATGCATGTGCCATGGGTAGATATGGTAAAATAATATCAAACAAAAATACAAGTATTTTGTTTCTATTAAATAGGCCAAATGCTCAGGAGATTTTTCATATTTACATTTATATTTATAAGAAGCAAATTTTATCTATCCGTAATTTAATGTTTTTACTTTTTTCAATCTTTTGTTCAATTTATTGCTGTTCAAGGAATACATTCGTATATTATGATGTAGAAATACTTTACAAGGCCATTATCACTTACAAAATGGGATAGTTTAAGTAAACCATTGGAAAGTGGCCATGATCACATTCTCACAATCTTTCCCAATAGTGCCAATTTATGATGCGTTTACACGACAGCATTCTATCAGGGCCGAACTACTGCTCCTCCCACTGATGAACAGGAGATTATCTCCAATGTGTTCACATGATTGGGGCCGAATGAGAGCCGAGATCTGCCAGAGTTCAATTCAGTTCGACCAGAGCTGAACGGAACAGTGCCCTGAAATACTTAGTATGAAAACAACATGGCTGATAACAATTTTGGTTTCATGCTTGTGTTGTTTCTTTACATGATGCTGTTGTGCTGGGAATAAAAACAAACAAGTAACGTCTCTAAGCATGACTGGTATTATGATTTAGGTACTAGTATATCTTGAATAAACATGAAACGCACTATTCGCTGAAGTTATTGTCATGCAAAATTACCATTTTGTAATTGTTTAACTGTTGTGATATGTGTTACTGTTGCCAATCTAAATCTACTAGAAACACATCATCGTACCATCACCGCTTCTAGGATTTTAATCGTTGGTGTCTTTTCCATTTCCATTGGATCTGTTCAGTCGTTCTTACAAATTTTTGACACATAATTTCATACACCATTAGGGCAAGCCAAAAATTGCGCGGAATTATGAATGATGTTGTCTCCGCCATAATTGAAATGAGAGGTTATGATTGAGGGTGTGATTACATTCTGGGTCCCGATGTGTATACAAGGTCGGAGCCATGTCGGGTTCAACCCTAACAGAGTTCAACCCAAGGGTAATAGCAATAAAGTATGAAAATAACTCCAAGTCCACTGGGGGATTTCATTCTTAGTGTCCAAGTCCATTAGGATTCTATTATTTTTTAAGTATTTCTTCCTCTTCTTTTTCCTCATCTTCTTCGGCTGTTTCTTCGTCACTCTAGAACTTGACCATCATTGCCCTAGACTTCTGAAACTTAATTCTCAACACATTAGGAATTTTGATTGATCCACTGGTTTGGCAGCCTTTTTTGATTGCAATTTAACAAGAAATAGCAAGTTGTCCATTTTCTGAGGGTCTAGGTGATATAAATTTGTTGTGTAATATTTAGCATACTACCCTTTGTATTTGATACATGTATCTTTATTAGATAATAAAATCTTATCGTAACAGTACCATTTTACTAGTATTGCATCAATCGAAAAAGAACATTTCCATCAGTCGTTAAATATATAGGCAACAAAAACTATAATATACATGGACATGTGAACATGCAAGTAACACCAAAGGAAAATTGATGCAATTTCATTTTGTGTTGTTAAGCATCTGTTTACAAAGCTTTTGATTATATCCTCATCTCTGCTTTCAAGTAGATAAACGTGTACAAGCTTCTGAAGTGAATTGGTGATTGTAGCAGA